TTTTAGGCACTCGTAAAATACGATAATTGATCGATCGGCTGGACACGGCCCCGGCCGCCGAGCCGGCACGAGGCCGTCGCTCTCGTTTCGCGGCCCGCGGGCCGCACAAGAGAGAACACCGAGTAGGAGTAAAAAAAAAAAAAAAAAACGAAAACAGCGGATAAACGAAAATAACGAAACCCGCCGCGAAACTTTATTTTTTCGCGTCGACCGTTTTTCATCGTTATTATTAAACACACGGCCGCGAGGGAAACTATTATAAATTACAATATTATAATATTATATACTGCGGTGAACCGTCGTCGCCGCCGTCGTCGTCGTCAAGTATTATTTTTTTAGTTCGTATACACGTGTATGTATATGTTTGCGTGTATATTTTACGCGCGTATATATACGCATATATACCCCTACTCGCCTTTATTAAAAATAAAAATAAACGGCTATAATAATATACACGCTGCCGCAACCGCGTTACGCTATGCTATATTGTCAACCGCCGCGCACGGCGAGGAGGACGAGAGCGTATGAAATTAAGTCACCCGGGGGGTTTGTCCCCCGTAATTCAGGCGCGGCGCCGTCTTAATAAAACATGGTGGCGGCGAGCGCGCGCGCGCACGCACACGTGATTGCAGCCGTTTTTGTTTTTGCCGCAGCGCGCCCGGCGCAATATTTACGGCGCGAGCATCCGCGCGCGGTCGGGGAAAACTCCCGGAAAATATTGTGCGCTAGTTTGTCAAGGCTGCGGGGCCACAAGCGCCGTCGCACAGTCACTGCGATGTGATATCAATGGCGACCGGACCAACGGTATTGGCAGGTCGGTTCGACGTATACTTGTATAAACATTACGATATGAACTTAAATGTTAGAGAAATTTCGACCTTATCCCCCCTCACACACACACACATACACACGCACACACACACATACACACACACACACACACAAACGACCTTTAATAACATGTAGTCAAGTACTGTTGCCGGCGGTCATAGCGAGCTTACGGTTCTCTTTGGCCTGAATCTCGGAAACCACTAGTATCGATATCAACACGGACCTTCCGGGTTTTATAACAATATATCGCTGAATGAACAGTAAAGAAGAAAACCCTTTGCGTCGTAAACGCGGCAGAAGACGTTTTCGTAATTCGAACAAACAAAACGAGGTATTACGCGGGCTCGTTTCCTTGTTACTGTGAGGTTCAGACTTAAGATCACGGGTAAACAAAATCCCGTTCAGCTGATCGAGTATCATTTCTATATTGTTCCATGGCCGTCGATACTGTATTATTATCCATCGGCCTTTGACAAAAGAAATAAATCCCCCGAATCGTCTAGTTTATGGACTGCTAGCCCTCGTGGGATAGGTAGTCGGATTAAAAATGAAAAAAACGCCCGCTAATTATCCCAAACATTTGATATCACGCAAATTAAGATTAAATCCACGTGGAGCTCGACGTGTCAAGTTTCCCGTTGACTGGAGGAAATAATTCGATAGACTCTTTGTCATACACAAAAGCTATAGTTGTACATTTGACGTGACCGAAAACAATTATTATGACCGACAATACCGAAATACCAATAATAAAAAAAAAAAAAAAAAAAAAAATATGGAATTAATAATATTTTAAATCGTAATAATCTGTCGTTTTATAGAATTCAAACGAAAACGTATAAGTGTATCGGTAGGTACTTTATGTGCACAAGTATTAATGGCATTATAATCTTGTATTTTTTTTTTTTTTTTTTTTTTACCTTAAACACGTATAATAGATACTGCAAAAAAAAAAAAAAGAGAGAAAGCGAGAGATTAATTTTATGCACAATAAATAATCCCGTAGGTACCAGATACTTGTAATAATACTGATCGTACGCGTTTTTAAATAAATTTTAATCTGCGCGATCGGATAAACTTGCTTAAACGTAATTCTATGCAGATGATTAATTATGTTTTACGCAGAAATACGAGTATAAGCCGTGCGCAAAGATGCTGCCTATTATATCGTTATGCACAATATCGATTTTTCAAGTACAAAAAAAAAAAAAATTTAATTTCACATTTGACGTAGTCTCTACGTACTGCGCGAACCGAGTTACCGTTCGCGGGGAACGCGTTGGCCTAGATGCCCACAAGCGAAACAAAACTAGCCTCAAATCCGGGCTATTAAGATTCTCGTTTGCCCGCGATTTCCACTGAAAACTACACCGTTGCTGTGTTTGAAATTTTTCGAAAATGCCCGAAGTACGTGTCGTTTAAAGTACAGACGTGTTTGTCATTACTCGAGTTTAAATAGCGTACACGTCGAGTCGATATAATATATAATAAGATCGATTTTCGTGTATTGAAAAATCTTTACAATCAAGCCGATTTATACGATTCAACGTTGACGTTAACGCGGCGCGGTAAAAATATTTTTCCCTCCGGAGTACACCTATAATAATATTATACGGGCGAACGAAAACTACGAAAGTTTTACTCGAGACGCCATAAGCCAACGCCCTGAATAGGTTTTAGACCATATAGTTCTTTCGTTTTCAAATTGATATAATATATATATATATACATATATTTTCAATTTTCCACAAGGTATTCGGCATAAAAACGTAACGTACGGCCCTAAGTACTCGAGGGATGAAAAAAAAAAAACTCTCGGGAGTTTGACGAAGAGCATCCGTTCCGGTCTCGAATTGTTTTCCTACTCCGAATCGTTTTTTATACGACCAAAGACGGTTCGGCCACATATTATGTACTTTATGAGTATTATACGCACAGCGGCGGGTTTTCTCTAATAGCGTGTAGCATAATTTTCAAAAGTATAGACGAACGGAAGGTCTACAAAGAAGTTTAATGACGTCAAGGATATATTATTTTATTATCGTTAAACACGATGATAGTTTGTGCGCTCGTGTTGTAGTGCAGACGGTTATTTCGAGTATTGATGTGCGGTCGTACTGTCCGGTTAGGTACCAAGTAACTATAAAAGGTACTACAATATCATCATAAGGATTTAAATATGCCTTAAGAACTATCGACAAATGTCTATATAAAATAAATAATCAAAAAAGCGATTTTATTTTCTTTTTTAATGCACGTTAGCCAAATAATACCCTTATAATATGTTAAGTACTGCTCTAAAAATGGGAAAAATTGGGAAAAAGGGGAAAATAAAAGTGTCCATTTGGTACAAGTTGTTATTTGCTTAAGACATTGTTCAAGTCGAAATAGAACGATTGATAATCTGTATTGATGAAGAATTCCTAAAGCCTATTAAAAGGAATATCATAAATAAAAACAGTGGAATAAATACAAAATAAAAATATTTCATTTGACGTGTTTGTTAGTTGAACCAAATTTAAAATTGCATAAGATCACTCTAAAAAAAAAAAAAAAAAAACACACTGCAAATAAATCCGGTCTTAAATATCATAACTATACCAAAGCTAATATAATATATTTACATTTATTACATTACGCTCGAACGCAGAATGTACGTAATTTTTTTTTTTCATTTCTCTAAAACTCCACAATTCAGTATGTACTGCGGGGAAAAAGATAAGAAGAGTGCATACGAGACGCACTAAATGTTAAAATCGTGTAACTCCGTTCGAAATCGTTTCGGATTACAATGATTTATCGTTGTGATGGCTATCGATTTGAAAAAAAAAAATAACATGTATACATATATCGGTTAGGTTAGGTTATACACTTACATGAACAACGATTGATTTCTGAGGGTTTTTCTTTCTACCGGGAAATCACCATAGACATCAAAATAGTTTTATTTGAATATATATTTTTTACTAATATGCTGCAGAGCTCTTAACACTTAAACACTAATCGACGAAACCCATTAAACCGTCGAAAAAAGCCCTGAGAAAATTGTACTCAAAAATATTTAAAAAAGCAAAAATAATAGGGAGGTTTAAGAGTGTCCTATCCAACGGCTCTAACTTGTAAAATACAATTTGATAACGGTAAAAAAAAAATGTTATTTTCTAGTTTTTTTAGGTTGGAGCCGTTATAGAGGTATGAGTTGTAAAACCTCCCATACCATTTTTGCTTTTAATACATTTGAGGTGCTCTTTTACGGATCTTAAATGCTAAAAGTTCTGAGTACTGCTAATAAGTAATCGTTTTTTTTTTCGAGTTGAAAGAAACTTTTGGGTTTTTCCGTGCTCAGCCATTAGCGGCCGCATAAAAAACCTTGAAAGACGCCAAAACGTTTTAGTATATCAATGAAAATAGGCCGCAAAAACACTCAATGGAAACAACCTCTCGGTAAAAATACCTCTTCGAAAAAAAAAAAATTACCGTATCTCTATAACGGTTCGCTGAAATTCGTCGTAATACACGTTGCGTTTTATATACTTTAAAGTTTAAACGAACCAGCAGATATTTTTTTAATCGAATTCATATTTTGAATGTTGAGACAGGATAACTATTTTACGATTTTAAATAACAACAATTCTTTAAGCTTCTACATAATGAAAGTTAAAACCATTTCTCATAAATTCTTATTTTCGGATACAGTGATTTTTTAGACGCAGGCAAGACATTACGATGCAGCTCCTATAACAATACATTAGAATTCTAAGGACACTTAATATTTTTATTGGGCAAAAAAATTTATCTATGCTATTGGACATCTCGTAGATAATTTTAAAATTTGAAAGTGTCCCGTCATTTGTTCTAGTTATTTTTTTTTTTTTTTGTGATTACTATACAGTCTGACACAAAGTTTTTTAATTATTATTAATACGCATTTTTGATATAACTGATTGTTCAAATAAATTATAAATTTAATGCAAGACAAACATAATTTACACCATAGATATAGGCTTCTGTTTTAAATATGGTTATTTTTTTCTCTCGCAGCCAAAAAAACAAACAACAGAAATTAACAAACATTATTTAATTTTTCGAAAAATGTTTTCGATTCTTACTAAAAAAAAAAAAAACACAAAACTCAATATTATTTTTAACACTACAATTGTACTAAAAAATGTCTCCGTGGGCTTAAGCCTTCGCCGCTAACGTCAGTTTAAAACCAACACCGTATTTTTGACACCGAAAACACATTCTATATTGGCACTTTTTAAAATTGAATTTCCTAATAATGCCTATATCAATGATTAGACACGAAATTATATTTTTGTTATCAACTGTAGCTAGTACTGTGTACACACCGAGTCGTTGTCAATATTTTTAGACGACAGAGCAGTCATAGCATTTAATTTTTAATAAATTTCACCTCGAAAAAAAATGCAAAACACTTCGAGAGAATGAAAACACTATCGTAATGCGTACGTATAGTACGGTATAGGGAATCAAACCGATTGTTGTATTTACCGGCGTTAAATAAAAGGTCCACTTGTTGCTAAACTTAATATGCAAATAAATCCGCATTACAATAAAACGGGTAGGGGGGAGGAGAAACGAAATAAGTCAAATTTTATTTCGTATGTGATAATTTAACGGCTGCGGCGTGACAGTTTGTGTATAGTATCGAAACTAAGTTTGGAATAAACGTTCATGGAGAAGTGTTTTCTAAAAGAAAAGTCCATTGCGAAAAAACGCGAATATATCCTATCGAATACGTTTTACCATTTAATGATAGTGACAAAATCGAAATTGTTTTCGAGATTTACGCTACGGCGCTACACACAGGCCTACCGACGAATCGAGCGTCAACCAAAGGCCTTCTCGCACTGAATTCACAGCGTAAAACGAATGATGATGCATTAGGGAAACTGATCGTTTCACCACGACAACGGCGGCCACATTAAAAAACCGCAAAAACCGTCAAAATTTCGCACTAACGCTAGTATTTTCACCATATTCTGCGGTTTGGACAATGTAAATTAATGCAATTACCGTCCCATTGTTATCAACCGCAGAGTTGTACGTTGCATTGTTTACAGTAGAAGTTTTCACCTAATGGTCAGCCAGATTTAGTCAAACTCATCAATCGCAATGAGCGCACGGGAGTCAGTGAAAACAATGTAAATGTAACAAAGTTTCTCTGCCGCGTCGTTGTATATACTGCGTTTATACAAGTAAATGTCATTTTTTTAAATACCACATTTTTAAATAAAAATGCACGCCCATTACTCGTCATACGTTAATCTATTTGTCGTTTAAAAATAATTTTGAACGTTGTGAAAAACAAGATGTTTCTCCCACAGCGCGGGGCAAATACCGACGGAGGGATTTGAATGGGCATTTTTGGAATACGAACATTAAACTATCAAAAACATATTTTGACTTGTTAGTTCATTCTTCAATAAAAGAAAAGTGTGTGGCGACATCCCCACATTTTGTGTCCCATACCTCTAGGGTACTACCGCGCAGATCACAGTCTAATACAGTCCAAACCAAAGGAATTTTTACTATTGGTATGCGGTTTGTGCGCGAAAATTTCAAAACTTCGGGCCTAATCGCGAGCAGGCACGGATCAACAGCAAAGACCCTTGAGTGGGAGGGGAGGCTAACAGTTTGTTTACGACACAAATACAATTACAATATAATAGTATAATACGTTACGTGTATTATTTTCTTGTGTACATCAGCGATTGGAATATAGTAATATCAAGATCTATAGAATTACAAAAACAATTCAAAAAAAATCGGAGAAATAATATGTCTGGAAGGCCACGGAGACGCCCCCCGTACCCCCGGATCCGTCTCTGACCGCGGGATTATAACGGGCACCTACCTAATAATATGTGTTTACTTCTGAACGTTACCCATGCTTGTACCACGGCGTTTTCTACGCCGAAACGTCTTACTCACGCCGGTGAAATATCGCGAATGATAAAAACGTGAAGCGCCGGTAGCATACTGATCTCATTTTATATTGTTAAATGTGATACCGCGTAAGACTGCGGCCGGGAATCATTATTACAGGTCGGGTATATATAATGGTAACGTATATACGAAACGGTCGGAAGCTTACAAAACGGCAGCGAGCATTTTGTTTGGGGCAACACACGGTTCCGGACGTTATATACGATTCTGTAAATACAAAAGATTTTTTTTTTTTTCAACCTAATGCTATTTCGCATAAACATCGCCGGGACGCGCGACGTTGCCAGTTATGGCTTTTGTAAAAATACAAACAATGATACGAGTATAATGATAAAATATTCTAAAACAAAAAAAAAAACGGATATATCTCGCACGACGGGTGGGCCACACACTGTTGTTGGTGTAAAATTGGGAAGGTACAGGATATAGAGGGGAAATTAAAGCATACATCCGTATGCGACGATTGACGGTCACTAACGAAAAACGATTCTGAGCGGAATTTGATTACACGTGTTTAAAATGGCCGTAAACGATTTTGTTTTAAATCTTTCATAAAAATAAAAATAAAATACTACATTACCTCCCCCCTCCCTTTTTTTTCCTCGCCTTACGATGAACTTCCTGTGAAATGTTCAAGCATTTCTGTTTGGCGATAAAACCGTCCGTTATCGATTCGCTACTGTACAACGGACGGTTTTCGGAACCGTCGGTCGTCCTGTTTTATACAACAGATGGTTTCGGCGTTAAGCCGTGTTATCACGCAGCTGTTTCAATTCAAAATAATACACGGAAGACCTCTCGCGTTTCGGCGATATTTTCCGTACGGCGAGACGGTCGCCGTCGCAATAAGGGATCAATGCGGTGCGAAATCGCGACGTACGTGGGCACCGCGAATCGCGCCGGTCGCAGTTCGTTTTTCGAGAATTGCCAGGTTTTCGGCGGATACCTTGAGGAAAAATTGCCGCGGAGACGGTACCGTGTATAGGTGCCCCCGGAAAAAGCGTACAGATATATATATATATATACTTGGCCGTGTGTGCGTACGCGGCGTGCGCGCCTTTTGTTTTCCGAAGTATAAATCAAAAAAAAAAGAGCCCGGAAAAACGGAAAACGAAAAGGAAGAAGAACAAAAAAAAAAAAAACCAAGCGCGAAATAATAATAATAATAATAATATACGGCAATTTCGGGCTCGGGTCCTGACCGACTTGTGTTTCCGCACACGTAAACAATATAATGGATCTTCTCTCCTCCGCGCGGCCGTCGAGTGGACCCCGGCGAAAGCTGCAGCGTAACGGCAATAAGAATCATCGTGATAATAATAAAACGCTGCGAGACAAGTCTTATATTATACGTGTACGATATTATTATTATCATTATTATTGTTGTTGTTGTTGTCGTTATATTGCCGTGGCTGCGACAGGAGGGTATACCTACGTCCACGCTACCGGCACATTTGACATCGTAATATATGTTTTAATAAAAAAAAAAATCGCGTATACATAATATCGCGCAATACCTTCGAGAAATATCGCGTGACGGGACGCAAACGCCGCGTTCGAACTCCCTCTCCCCCCTACCCTTTGCGGATGATAATAATAATGATAACAGTAATACTGTATCCGTCATATCGCGGAAACGACGAAACATTATTACAGCGTCGCCGATCGCACACCCCCGTAGCCCCCGAACACGTACGGGTACGTCCAATAATAAAAACCGTACGCAGAAAACCCGAAAAGGCCGTAATACGGAGATGAGTGGCGGGGGATGTGGCAATGAGGTGGCGGCAAATTCACTCGGAGGGCTGTTCTTAGAGGACGAAACCCGAGGGAAGACAGAGAAACGCATGAATCGCGATTTAAAAATAATTCATCTAGAATCTAGACTATTCGTTTTTGTCGTCTCTATCGGTCTAACAGTTCGAATAACTTATTTATCATCTATCAATATTGTATACGGAGTTCATAGTATTAAAAACATATACTTTTCGTGTCATTTTTAAAATTGAAAATTGTTAGTTTTATTTTGTTTAATCGTCCAGGCGGGCGCTCTAAAACTGAAAAAACCGTCGGGAACGTTCGGTTAAAAAAATAAAAACCACTTCAGTAATTTGTATCGGAAAAATAATCTAAAACAAACGCATCAAACTTTTACAGTTGTTACGAGTATAAACGTTATCAGCGCGAAATTTTGAACTCTTCCCGGTTAGTCGGTAAACTTTTAAAATTGCATTACCCTAACAGACATAATAATGCCGTTTGTTCATAGAACTGCGGATAATGTCAATAGTATCGCGAAAAAATCTATTTAAAAAAAAGGGAAAATAAACACCATTAGCTTACTACAACGTCGAATATCTGTAAAAGCCGATATCATACACAAACCGATATGAATGTTATCGAATTGTTTTTATAACCGACTATAATTTCATTTGGAACACGAAAAACCATTTCTAACTTTAACATTTTCTAACCGATACGTCGGTTGGCAACGGCTTACCCAGGACAAGGGGCAAAGGAGATTTCGTCCCTTCCTATTGGCCGTATTTAAGACGAAAAAATAACATAAACTATTCAGTGTTGACGAATTATTATCTACACATACGGAGTGTCCCACGATGATCTGCCACTTGAAATAACTTTTGTTCTATTCAATATTTATTGATATATATATTTTTTTTTTTAATAATTAGTATGCCTCTGTGCTACCGTCAGTAATATATGAACATTTTTTTTTTTTTTTTAGAGGGACTGTTATTTAAAATAAAACATTTTTAAATTTTACTGTAATTTTTTTAAACAAATTAAAAATAACCATTTCGTAAAATTGATTTTTACGAAATTTTAGAAAATTTTTGGTGGTTGAAGCTTTTGTTAAAACATGGTCTTTTATTTTCTACGATATTTTAAAGTTTTTACAAATGTGAATAACACCTATTCTGGTTGTTTTATTGCAATATTTAATCAGTGAGGGCACATGGCAAGGATTTTCTTTTCCATTAGTTAATACTATACAATAATATTATCATATTATAAGTATTAGATAATGTAAATCACCCAATAATGGCGATTAATTTTGATAAACAATATTGTTACGATTGAATAGAAAATTATTACGATTTTCAAAAAATCCTTAAAAAATAAAAGACCATACTTTAACAAAAGTTTCAACCACCAAAAGTTGTCTAAAAAATTATTTTATAGAATGGCTATTTTGAATTTGTTTTTAAAATTTTAGTAAAATTTACAATTTTTATTCTAAGTCCCCTCCCAGAAAAAAAAAAATATTCATTTATGAACTGTAGCGCTAATGGTATACTTATTATTTAATTAAAATATTGAATAGAACAAAAGTTATTTCAAGTGGAAGATTGTGGGACATAGTGGGACACCCGTGATGCATAAAATCAAGTTCTATATTTATGTTAGCTTTTTATACAAATGTATAAATTTATTCGGATCTTGACGAAATTTCGCTAAAAAATTTGATTACATTCAACACAAACGGAAAAGTTGCCGGTTTTGGAACGAAAATTGAATTTTTATTTATTGTTGTTTTATGAATGAAATGGATAAAAAAAAAAAAGTTATTTTTATTTAATTTGATTATCATGGATAA